AAAAAAAAAAAAAAAGATTTCCTTTACTTAGTCTCTTTGGGCACCTGTCAGTTGGCCAGTAGTCACGCATGACCATCTGTTGTACAGTGCAGGACATTCCCATTACTAGGAGACTCTGTAGATGGTACAACTATAGGTAGTTACAGGACAGAGGGCTAATCCTTTGGAATAATTTATAATTATTTCTGCTGAAGACATGATTATGACTATTTTGTTTGGATGTGTCAGGCCTGGCCTGGCCGCTCCCACATCTCACATCCCCGATCCTCCTGTTGAATGACCAGGCTTGCCCTCCGCCTTCTGTACTCCCACACAGAGGTGCCTCCAGGCGGCTTGTGGTCCAACTTGACATGTTCTAGAAGATGGCAGGGACCCCTGTCCAGGTGCTTCTCTGTCCCCAGGAAGAGCTACACTGTTCACACTCACAATTGTAAACCATGTTAAGAAATCTATAAGGAATTTAGGGAGCTGGAAACCATAGGCCTTGGGAAGGAACAGAGAAAAGTCACTATTCCTGGTGTTTTTAGCCACATTTTACCTTTTCCCCCAATCCCTTCTAAGCATCACCCCCAGTCAACACAAGCTTGGCATGAGTGGTTTTGAGAAGGATTTTGATTCCTGCATTTGGATATGTAAGCCAGAAATGCTTTGAATGAGTATACCCTGAAAATCTGTGCAGGTATGTAAATGCATATCTTACAAACTTAATGGCAAAGCAAGTGTTGTCATTTCCCTTTCTTTATTTTGTTTACATAGAACCTGGATTTCATGGTTAATGGGCTCAGGACTCCTTGTCTTCCTCTTTGGCTTCTCATCTTCCTGTTTTATTGAGAAAAAGCTCACACAGCCTTTTAAGCAGAGCAAGACCCTTCCTGACCCTTCATCTACTAGGGTTCAAGCATGTTCTGGCCCAGAGGCTAGGAGCCCAGCCATGATAAAAACCCAGGATGCATGTACATGTTGCACCCCCTCTCCCTTTTTTTTTTTTTTTTTTTTTTTAATACCAAGGATGGAACTCAGGACCTTCCACTTGCTAGGCAGGTGTTTATGCTGCTGAGCTATCTCCCTGGCCCTGCCCCTTTCTTGACAGGCCTAAATGTTTGGCAGGAAAAGACAAACACATTCAGGTCAAAGTCATTCCTCTGCCTTGCCGTCTGCAGCAAGTAAACGTTCATCTGCTCGGTCTGTGTCTGGTCACTCGGGAAGTTGTTGGCATTTCCTACCACTGTTCTTCAGTGGCCAGGAAAATGGGCTAAGAATCTCTTTCCCAAACAAACTAAAAATGTTTAAACTCCATGTTAAAATGGAGAGGCCCATGCAGATGCATCTTGTGCTACAGGTCTTCCTGGTGTGGCCTCGTGATTGTCAGGGCTAGTCAGTAGCAAAGGTGTTTCCTTGGTGTTGAGCCAGGCTACACCTGGCACTGAGCTAGGAAACCTGTACTGAATGCAAACATCTCTAGCACTTTACCTGGTTGTTACCATGTCAGGTAATATAGTGACCAAATGGAGAAACACTGAGTACCACTCTCTGCTATGTCTCTTCCCCTTGTGTCTCTGGGCGCAGGCAAATCCTAACCATCCCCTGGTCAATAGGGAGAGCTTAGATGTTACCATTCTGCCATTTCTGTGGTCGTGGGCACATAGCAGGATGATGCTGTAAAAGGGGCATGTGTTTTCTTGCGGTCTTTAGTTTGGATCTATAGTGAGACAGCTCTGCCAAAGCTGAGAGGGCACATGTCTTTTAAAAATGTGTTCCCTTTTAATTGAAGAAAAAAACGATAGCCTTTTAAATTTACAGTATGGGCTACTCTAGATGTTAGCCAAGATCATTTCTAAGAAGTTTTTTAATCAGTCAATCCAAGCCAAAAGAAAACAGTCTGTGTGGACAATCAGGACACATAAAAGCATAAGTGTGTGGCATCTCCTGGGAGTGGACTAGGGCATTGTGGGCCAGGAATGCTGGAACAAACTTGCTGTGATTCGGTATGACTTTTCTTTAGACCTTGGTGGTTTATGTCCCTGGAAAATGAGTCATGGCAATTTCAGAACTGATTCCAAAATTTAGAGCCAATCCATGATTTAGCCAAATAATTACCATGTTTTTTTTTAACTCACACCTCTAACTAGTAAAAAGAGTTTTGAGCATTTGCTTCCAATGTACATCCACCTTTCTGTTTATTAATCATGTTTATACATTATGTATGTGACCACTTTCCCAGCTCATTCTGTATTTCATAAAACATGTAAAATAGATGAGTTAGGGGAAACTGTAAGCAGTGCCGATAGTGAATACAGTCAAACTAAGAGGGACGCTGTTGAGCCAGATTTGGTGGACTACCCCCCTCAACCAAGAAGCATTGTTTTATTAGTAAATTTTTTTTTTTTTTTTTTTTTTTTTGGTGGTACCGGCAAGTGAACTCAGGACCTTGCACTTGCCAGGCAGGCACTTATTCCACTGCGCTATCTCCTCGGCCCAATTTTCTTTATTTTTGTTAAAGCTGAGGCACATAGAAATATTCAAAAATGAAAAAGCAGGGAAAAAATAATAGACTATATCTCCATGTACCCATCACCCACTCCTGTTGCCAGTTCTTTTCATTCTTGTGTTTTCCCCTTACACCATTTTTCTTCTTTCTTTTCCCCCCACTTTGAGAGGAATAAAGAGAGCTCTGGGGTATTTTCAAGTGATTCCAAGATATGCCATTGTTTCATTTATAAATGAACACTGCACAAGAGGTTTTAAACTTTTTTTGTGTGTGGAACCAGGGATTGAATTCAAACCCTTGTGCTTGCCAGGGAAGCACTTATTCTACTGAGCCATCTTCCCGGCCCTGTTTTTAAACTTTTTAAACTTAACTTTTAAAATACTTTTAAGCACTTCATGAAATGACTGTGACCCCTGAGTTCCAGTCTATGTCCAGTTTCTCTGTTGTCTAGACAGTGCCCTTGTTAAGACCAATTACTGCAGTCAGGGACCCTGGCCATGGCATGATGGCTATCCTAGTTCCTGCTATGCAGGTGGGCCCTGCACTCTTTGCATTTGGGGCAAGGGGCACTGACCATCTTTGGTCTCTTCCAGGATCTCTACCTAGAGCACCTGCTGCTCTGTGTGCAGACTCTGGTGTCTGTGTGTCAGGAGGACTGCAGCGTGGCCAGCCTGCAGCTCATGGAGGTGCTGGTGACAATCATGGCTCTCTCGGGTGCCACCGCCCTTGGGGACAAGGTAAGGCTGGTGGAAGATCCCCGTCACTCTTTCTGACGGAAACATAACTGTCTTCTGTAAATCTCTTGCATGCTTGAATTTCAGGCCTCAGGCATAGCTGACTGGCAAAGATGAAAGCATGTGGAACATTCAGGATGAGTCATTCATGAGGTGGCCTCAGGGTGTCCTGCCACCTGCAGATGTATCCTTCTGTCTAGGAATAAAGGCTCTTTAATCTTGGAGCCTGTAACAAAGAAGCAAAAAAGAAACAAGACTGTCACAATCCTTAAGCCTGTCCATATCAGTGGTTTCAAAAACACACACCCATATGCAGCTGAAAGTCTGGAGAGGAGAGCGGTGACTTTCCTGCATAATTGCAGCACAGCTTTGCAAAATTATTTCTATCCCCTTGACTCTGTGTTTATGCTTACAAATCTCCCACACTGCCCTCCCTTTGAACTCAGGACCACCTGACACTCCAGGTACCCAGACAGTGCCCTCCCTCCCCCCTCCCCCAGCCTGGGCCATTTTGTGTGGAAGTCGTGGCAGCTGTGGGGCCTCAATTCAAGGAGGCCCGCTGCTTCTCCCTTTTTTTGGGGGGGGGGGTGGTCTCTCTATATATAGAGCTCTTTGTTTTGGAGGGTTTTTCTTGTGTGTGTGGTCTTGAGGATAGAACCTGGGGCTACACTACTGGTGACATCTTTAGCCCTTTGTGTTTTTATTTTTTTAAATTTTGAGACACTGAGTAGCAAAGACTCGTCTCAAACTCAAAATCCTCTTGCCTCAGCTTCCCAAGAGCCTGGATTAGAGGTATGTGCCACCATGCCCAGCTTCTTGAGGCTTCTTTCAACCCTGCTTTAGTTCACTCTTTGAACCTTTACAGAAGAAAAAGAATACAAACTAACCTTTACAAAGTGGACATCCTTATAGATAAACACTGGTAGGCATAAATAATAGCAAAGTGGTGCCTGTGAGAAGGAAGCCGAATACCATCAGGTAACAGGCAGGTCCACAGAATGGAGTCCACTGGGCAGCTGCCACCAGGGAATTTCAAGGACTTCCTACTGTGTTTAAATCCCAAGAAGAAAGTCACAGATTAATGAGTAGTTGGCAGCTTTGTAGTTAGCCATACCTCACCCCCATGTCACCAGCTAGCATGCATCCTGGCTTCAGTGATGACAGAAATTGAAGCAGGAAACATCATAAATATACAGGCTGTAACTTTGATTGGAAGGTTTATTATAGAGAAGACACAACTGACTATGCGTAGGCAGCTCCAGGGGTGGTAGGTGGAGAAGCTCCCAACAGAGGATATATGTTGCAGGATCTCAGGGGAATGACATTAATTATTCATGGAATTTTTCAAAAGGTGCAGGAGTCATTGGACATTCACAGATGTAAGTTTGCACATGGCCTAAAATACGCTTAGCAACATATTATGCCAGCCTCTGGATGGGGAATTTATCATGGAAACACATGATAATGAAAGACATAGTAAAGTTCAGGTTCAGTTCCTCCTTAAGCCTGTCTCTGTTCTGCTTGCATTAGTCTCACCCAGTTGGTCACTTAGTTGACAGCATGACTTACTTTACCCTTCCTGTCACTGAAAGCTGCCTGGCTTTCTCAGACTGCTCCTTCTGTTGCATTGTCCCCCCAGAATCATCTGTGGAGATCTAACTGGGGTAGGAATGCTGAGCACAGGAGGGCAAGGATGGGCTTGGGGACAGTTGGCTAAGTCTAATTCCTTAAAATGCCTTAGCCTGGTCAGAGTGGCTCTGGGTCATCTTCGATCTGCTCAAACTGAGGAACCACTGGTGCTGCTCTGTAGTGGCCTGTATGTCTGCTTTATTATTTGCTCTTAGGACCACATTGACAGCATGATGGGAAATCAGACTTTAGCAGGTTCAGCCACAGCCCTCGCCTTCAGGTCCAGCCTTCCACGTTTCCGCCTTGTAGCACTCCCCTCCTGGCTAAATGTTCACATTTAACCCATTTGTTCCAGCAGGCCAAGGGTCTTGGGTGATAAGGTCTTGAAAGCTGAATTGTCAGCCAGGCATGGTGGCACATGCCTGTAATCCCAGCACTCTGGGAGACTAAGGCAGGATTATGAGTGTGAGCCTATCGTGGACAACTTAACAACTTGGCGAGACACTCTCAAAAATTTTTTTAGGACTGGTGAGATGGCTCAGTGGTCTAAAGCACCTACTTAGAACAAGCTTAGCAAAGCACAGGGACCGCAGTTCAATCCCCCAGCACCACATGCCAGCCCGCCCCTCCCCCTGGTGGGCTGAGCTGGCCCCACACACACACACACACACACACACACACAAATAAATAATTTTTTTTACAGGCCTGAGCATGGTGCTCAGTGGCAGACTACTTGGAGGCCTTGGGTTCATTCCCTAGTACACACCCCCATTCCTCAATGGAATGGTCACAATGTTGAACTTGTATTTTGCAGGCTCAGGAGACCATGGAGTCACTGGCTTTGGTGGAAAATGTCCCCGGCAGTCAGGATCTCTACCACAAGCACATGGGTCCTCTCCTGGAGCGGCTGACTGCCTCGCACTGTGACTGGACTGCACACTCTGTGGAGCTGCTGCAGTTCTGTGAGGTCATCACCCGGTCAGGTAAGTCCCAGGCAGCCCTCAAGGCTCAGCTTGCCCTCATCCGTGGTGCCTCCACCTACAGCCACATATTTGTTCCACCACAGAGAAACCAGGATGCAGCATCCTACACCCCAGGGCACAAAGGCTAGAGCTGACGGCTCATGTGGGTGTTCCCCCCACACCTCAGCATGTGCAGTAACTTTGAAATCAGGTTGTACTATTTATTTATGTGTGTATGTATTTTAGTACAGGGTCTCTAGTGTCTCATTATACAGATGGGACTCACAGTGATTCTGTTTTCAGCCTCCCAAGCCCAGTCTCAATCACTGGCTCAATGTGCCCCAGGAGCTGGGCCAGGGCCAGCATGACATGCTGGGGCTCAAACCCCAGCCAATGTACTCTGCCTAAGCAGGCGCTTTTGCTTTAGTCCACTGAGCTATCTGGCCAGCCCTTGGAAATCAGGTTGTATTGTGGTCTATTTTTTAGTCTCTATTCTTCAGATACATCTGGATTTTAGTGTAGAATTTCACACTCCCAGCCACATGGCATTGCAAGTGTGTGACACACTAGGCTTTGACCTCTGCATTCCTGTCTGTTCTCCCAGAGTCTGAAAATGCAGGCTCCTTCCTGAGCTGGACAGTGTTGCTCCATAACCTCCTTCATTGCAGATGCAGAGTAGTGAGCCCCTCACTGTTTTAGCAACACCCCCCTACCCCCAAGTGCTGGAGCTGGAACCCAGGCCTGACACATGCTAGCCTGGCCCAAGCTCTTACTGCTGAGCTCCTCCCTAGCATTTGACAAGGTCTTCAGTACAGAAGTTAGAATGAGTCACTAGGTGTATGCTGTACTTTCCAAGTGATTGCGACTTATGCCACAACTTACTCCCTCCTTGATGTACAGACTCCCATAGGCCTTCCCTGTCCCCATGTCACCTCTGCATGACCAGCACCTCTTTGGAAGTATAAAGTATTGGCACTGTGCTCTGGAGCTAGGAATGCCTCTGTGGTTCATAGCCAGGTTGTGCCTAGGACTCTGAGACCTACCAAGAAATCTAATATTATTCTCGTCAGTTGTGTACAAAACTATTTCCAGAATAGAAAAGACAGGGCTGAGGCCTGAGGGTTGAGGCCCGAGGGTTAGAGCAGGTGTCTTGGCAGCTCCCTGCCCTGCCCAACACACCAGGTTGCTGTGCCTCACTGCTGCACCTCAGGGGAAGGCTGGAGCTGCTGACCCCATTTCATAGGTGGGAAACCAAGGGCAAAAGGCTTATCAACATTTATTTAAAAGTAACTTTTTATTTATTTTTTTTTATTTTTCCAAAGTTTTATTGATAAACAGATAGCAATGAGACAGTTTCAAATCAAATTGGAAGTACAGTTTCAACAAATAATACACTGCATATATTCTTCTTAGTGGTTAATTGCTGTACAAGAAGTGGACTTGTGATCCTATTTACAAACACCATTAGAACAAATCATTCTATTCATTAAGACAATGCAACTATATATCTATCCTAACCACTTTGAATACACAGATACAAAATGGACATTCATCGGTATACCCCATTTTTTCTAAGTTCCGTTATTGAATATTATAGGTGTGTAAACTCAGCAAAATATTCTAAAAGAGTCCAGTAGCCCATAATAGCATTGGGTCTTCTGTTTAACTGGCAATGTCAGAAATTATTGACCTGAGTCCCCCACAGCTCAACATAACAACATGGCTTTACTTCCTATATTTCGTCTTCATACTTTTCTACTGGATGGTTAAGACCAAGGTAAAGCAGGACCTGTGCAACAAGAGTTGTAGCTTTTTGGTCTGAGAAGGTCAGTGAAATGCCCTCAGGATTTATCCTGAGATCCTGTACCTCAGATTGTAGAACCTTTGTCAGCGGCAGCCACGTGGATGAGTCACAGCCAATGCTTGGCCAATGTGCTCTCTGTGAAAGCCTGAGAGAGTGTCTTCTCCCCATGTGACTCTCCTTAGGCACACTCTACGTCATCGATCACTTTCCTCTTTGGCCCCATAATCTTCTTGATCAGAAAATTTGGGACACTACCGAGGCACATGACGTTACAGTACAAGTTCTCATATGTCCTGAGTCTTAATTGACCTTAGAAGGCTAGGGCCAAAATGTTGGCATTCCATGTAGTCCTCCTTTTTCTCTAATTTTGGTCTGCAGACTTACGTTGTTAACCATCCAGAAGACAAGCTTATTGTTATTATCAAACGATTTAGGCTATTAAGCTTAACCTCACTATCTCACTGCATTTCAAACATCTTAGGCATAATAAGGAGCAGGTATTTTTCATCAAGTAGTGATATGTTGAACTTTAAGTCCCTGAATAATATGATAAAAACATTTTAAAAATTACATTATATTTTAAAAATAGGATAAAGAGTTATATACTTCTCATGTTTGCACATAAGTCCAAAAATCTCATCATATACAACCTTGAAACAGGACAGTCCCACAGTATTCCTTTTCCTGTCTCTTGCTTTCATTAGTAACTTTTTAAATATGAGGATTTTTTGTTTGTTTTTGGACTTTTTTGGGGTAAGGTTTCACCCTGCAGATCAGGCTGGCCTTGAACTCACTTTGTAGCTGAAGCTGGCCTCAAACTCTCGGTGATCCTCCTGCTTCAGCCTCCTGAGTGAAAATAGCTTATTTACAATAGTCCTATAAGGGATAAACACTTATAAGCCATTTAAATCTTTCAAAAAGGATGGTGGTCTACAAAAGAGATAGATTTGACTATGTCTTTATTTGAAACCAAATAATAAAAAGACCTGGGAAAATATCACAGTGAATCCAATAGCTTTGGGTCTTTGTCGCATAAAGCTCACATAAAATAAAGATAAAAAGCCTTAACCTCGAAAAACCAGGCAGGATACCTGGATTATGTAAGGAAGAGTTAACATAGCTAGCAAGCAAACAGTTGGAAAATATTCATGCAGCCTTCCTAATAATGCAGAAATATGAGTTAGAAACCATGAGTATAATTTCTTTATCTACGGAATTAGATGGAAAATAACAAGCTTGTCCCAGGGGAATCAAGCTGGGAGCCTGAGCCCTGCCGTGGAATTCCATGTCAGCGGTGCCTGTGGGAAGCAGCTGGGCGGTGCATCTGCAATTCCCAGAGTGCTCAGAGCTGTCCACCCAGCAGTCAGACAGAGGAGACTCTATGCTCAGAAAGTGATCCCGACTGTGGGAAAAGCTGCATACCCCAGCTATTCAATGGGGCAAAATTGGAACTGACTCAGATACCTAATAGGAAGTTAAACATGTAAGGGTGTTTCCACAGAAATATGTTCTGGCTACTGTTAAAAATCACCATCCTGCCAGTCCTAGCCCAGGTCCGGTGAGT